AGGGAAAAGCTTTGCAAGGCGTGCATAACCTTATTGGGACAGTTTTTGATTAACGTGGTAGTTCCAATTAAGTTTTTTGTCCAGCCATACTCCAAGATATTTTATGGCCTGGTCATCAGGGTTCCAAGGTAGAAAGTTACCATATATTTGAATTTCATGTGGCAATGTATGTTTTTTTCAAGGAAAATATTTTTGTCTCACATTTAGTTGAATTTAGGCGAAATTTCCACTTGTAGAACCAATCAATGAGAAGATCCACAGAGTATTGCAGGGAATACGTGGCCTCGTGGATGTCGGAATGTTGGCACAGGATAGCAGTGTCGTCGGCGTAGAGAGCTAATGAGGCGTCTTCTGGAAGAGGGATGTCTGCCATGTATAGATTGAATAATACAGGGCCCAAAATTGAACCCTGTGGAACTCCTGCATTGACTCGTCGTACAGATGATTTGGAAGAACTAATTTTAACAGAGAAGGTCCTGTGACAGAGAAACGATTTTACAATACTGGTTAAATATTTTGGAAATCCGAAATTAATCAATTTAAAGACAAGACCGTCATGCCATACCTTATCAAATGCCTGAGATATGTCAAGAAATGCCGTTACTGTGTGCTGTTTCCTCTCAAACCCTTTGACTATCGTTTCATATATTCGTAGGATTTGATGTATGGGCGAATGTTTTGGCCGAAATCCAAATTGATGAGCAGGAATTATATTTGCAGCATCCATGTAACAGGCAATTCGTTTCAAGATGATTTTTTCAAAGACTTTAGAAAGCGTAGAAAGTAAGCTGATTGGACGGTAACTCGATGGAGAAGACTTCGGTTTATTGGGTTTATGAATAACTGATATTTCCGCATGCTTCCAAATAGAAGGGAAGTAAGATTTAGACAAACATGCATTAATAATTGATGTGAAATATGAAAAGCCTTTGTTGGTGAGATTTCGCAAAATAATATTAGGAATAAGGTCATGGCCAGGTGATTTACGGAGTGGAAGTTTTTTAATTACTGCTTTAATTTCAGATTGGCATGCAAACTTTATTGGTAGTTCAGCAGATAAAAATTTTCCATTCAAAGTTTCTTTCACCATCTCATCGTCACCATAATCAGCAAGATCAGTGGGTTGAAATGTAGTTTCATAAAAATCTGCCAACAGTTCACACTTCTGTGAATCAGTCTCACAGATTAGGTTGTCTTTTTTCAACGTAGGTATGATCGAAGGAGTACTTAAAAGACGTTTAGTTGCTTTCCACATATTTGGGTCACTCGGATGAATATCAGAAACATACTTCTTATAGTTGTCTATTCTAAATTCCTCGAGTTCTGTTTTCACTCGTCTTCCCAGTTCGTTGAGTTGCCTTTTAAAGTGTGGTAGACGGTATCGCTGCCAAAGTCGTCTAACTTTATGTTTTTCTCTAATCAGACGCATTATTCTCATCGGAGGATGATAGTAGTCGTTATTTGGCGTGGATCGTGAGGGATTTAAGATAGCTTTCCTGGCACAAGTTTTCAATGATTCGGTAAATATTTTTACAGAGTTTTCTATTTCGATGCAAGACGATAATTTAGGCATACCTTCTAAACATTTATCCAATTCTGCACTGAAAATTTCCCAATTTATCTTTCCATTAATTAATCGTTGAGGTGGACAACTAAATTGAGGTTGCGTGAAGAAGGTTACTATAACGGGAGAATGGTCAGAGTCCAGCTCGGGTAAAACATTTTGAATGATTGGAGCTGTAAAGTTTTTGTGCAAAACCAAATCTAGTATATCTGGTTGATAATTAGGTTGCCATGGGAAATGTGTTGGTTCTTGTGGCGCATCAATCATTACGTTTGAGTTATTTGTGAGTCGTAACAAACGGTTTCCATTTGGGTTTGTGGTTCTGCAGCCCCATATCTGATGTTTACAATTTAGGTCCCCCATAACAACAGTCGAACAATTTTCTGCAAACAGCACCTGCAAGTCATTATTGTGTAGCCGTTTGTTCGGGGGTTTGTAGACAGAAATTAAGCGAAAGTCTGCACCATGACTTAAATTAATTTTTACACCAACAGCTTCTACCGAAGATAAACGAGGTAAAAATATATTATGATGGTCCAAAGTTCTTCGCACAAAGATTGCAACGCCACCTGAAGCTATTGGATTAGGCCTATCTTCCCTTTATATAGAATACCCATTAATTTTGAAATTTTCCACATTGGTCAGGTGTGTCTCAGTAATGCACGCAATATCGATGCTATGTCTAACCATAAACGCGATAAAAGTAGCACGTTTATCTCTAAGCCCATTGGCATTCCAGTTAAGGAGGGTTAAATTGTTAATTTGAAAATAATTGACCTGATCCATTTGAGAGAATAGAGCAAATCACATTACTTATTATCTTTTTGAGAGTAGGAATGAACGATTTCACCACATCTAGGATTATTTGTTCAAAGTTTTGAAACACAGACGTATCAGGAGCATCATCAGATTGTTCTTGTGAGAATGAATTATTAATATTGCGGCGGCTCGTAGCAGCAACTTTAGCAAATGAAACTCGTGATGTGGAAGGTTCCTGAGGCGAAAAGTTTGTATGAATCTCAGGAAAATGAGTAGCAGAATTCAAATTAGGGGGAGAAGGAGTATTTTCTATTTTCTCAGTAGCGTTGTGATGGCGATTGCGAGGACTACCCCGATTGTGATCCTTGTTGGTTATTTTCTGGTATACTTGACAGCCTCTGTAGTTAGCTGTGTGGCTTTCGCCACAATTAACACATTGAGGAGCTGCAGTTTTTTGTTTAGGACATTCAGAGTAGTGATGTTGACCAGTGCACCGCACGCACCTTGGGTCCAACTTACAAAAGTTCTTCGTGTGCCCATAGCGTTGACATCGAGTGCATTGGGGAATTTGCCTAGATTTTCTTTTCATTTCGACACTTACAACTGCAAAACATATTGTGGTTAAATTAAAGATAGCTTTGCCGTCGTCGTTGTTTTCCAAGTCTACCGCACAAAGAGGGAGTGGAAGTTTGTTTTTGTTGAGTAACCTAGTGACTCTAATGACAGGATAGTTTTGATCCGTTAGCTCAGTTTTAATTTCATTCTCAGATAATGATGTAGGGACGTTCCTGACAATCACTTCTAGTTTTTTGTCATGTAGGGGTTGAAAAGTATGATATTTAATGTTAGAAGAATCATAAAAGGCTGTCAAATTTCTAAAGTCATCTATATTAGACAAGTTCACTTTAAGGGACTGCCCTCGAACTTGAGTCGAAAAAGTTGCCTTTACCATATTTCGGACATCTTTAATTATTTCTTGGTGGTTGTTTACGTTGTGCAAAAATATAGGAGGGATTTTTAACTTTGGGTCATTTACTTGGTTTTCCAAAGTAGAATCATCCATCTCGCGTGATTGATCCACGCCATTGCCATTACCATTAGAACTATAAGAATGTTCAGATAGAATTTGATATTTATTGCCTTTACATAGTTCACTTGAATCTAAAACATAGCGTTTCGGTTGAGATTCAGAGGAAGAAAAGGTAAGTTTACGTTTTGGAAAGACAAAATCATCATCAGGATCACTTACATTTTCATCAAAAGGCATAGCAAGGAACTCGTTTGTTTGTTGCACATTATACTTAGCTTTGTTTACATTAGTTGTTGACATTCTTGTAACAGGAGGAGCTTGTAGGTTAGACCTATGTTTGAACGAAGTTTTATTGTTTAATTTAACTATTTCCGCGATACTATGAAACAAGTACAAAGAACAAACAAAGAATTAAACTTGTCACAACTTTAAAAGAGAGCCCGAGCTCAAAAATACGTAAAAAAGATAATTATTCACAGAGCAAAAATCAACACAGTCACTATAAATAAGAACCAGCTGTATCTTCAGTACATTGATGATGACACAGGTAAGGTAATATTGAAAATCCAATCCAATCCAATTCCACTCGCGGCCATTTGGATACATAAGAAGATAACTTAGATGCAGTAAAATGGTAAACATATACGTATATATGTATATTCTGAAATTAACATTGACAGCTAGACTGAAACCGTCCGTTAGATCAGGCCAACTTCATCTCTGTCCTCTGTGTTACAAATTTACAAAATAAAGGAACCTAACTTAACTTCTCACATTCCTTTTATTATTCCAAACGCTTTATTCCATTACAGTCAATGTCACTACATTTGTTAAACAAGAGTTTAATTTAACTTTATGCAGGCCTGACCCGAACATACAGTGTCGAGCGATCAAGTACTTAGTTTCAGCACAAACTATAAAATAAGTATCAATAATTTGTAAATATTTAACTGGCATAACTAACATAATATTAGTGTAGATATTTTGAGATAGGTCTAGGCTAGCTTGGTATACGCCTAATAATCTATTAATATTCAAGTTTAATTTACAAATTATGTTTCTAGCTTTAAAGTATGTTACTTTCAAGTTTTTATTGATACCTAGATCCATAATTTTTTATTGTGATATCACAGATATAGTACTTTAATGGTGATATAGCTGACTCAGAACATGGTGTGGTGATCTAAAATGCAGTAAGATTCTTTCAAACCAAAAGGCAGCAATTTAGGATAGTAAGTCAATATTAAAATTACCGTGAAGTGAGGGGGTGGACTTGCACATGAGATCCTAAAATAATAAACCAACATATAAGCAAGAACCAGAAAGTATACTAAAGTAAAAACAAAGCGCAGACGAGTTGGTAAAAGTAAAGGAACAACCGTGCTATATTCAATTCATTGTACTGTGTGAGTGAGACTGTACACGTTGTAGCAGATAAATCTGATATCTGATATCTGTCACAGTTCCACGGAACGGTTTACTCACGCATGCGCAGTATGAGAGGAGTAATCCGCGATTGAAACGGATGTGTCACAAGGGCCAAGGCGAAGGCCAGTCCAGTCCAATAGTCCAGTCCCACGTACCAGTCCAGTGCAGTGCCAGTGCCATTGCCATTGCCAGTCTAGTTTCAGTATGCGATCGGTCCGTAGTGTTAGTGTTGCTTTTTACGGGTTGTCGTTTGAAATTCATCGTCTCTTGTCGTTGTCTGGCTCCTGGCTGAGACTGACTGTTTAGTTCGTTCGTTCGTTGTTCTGTTCTTCACCCTATTCGTGTTTTGTTTTGTCATTCCTCCTCCGTGTTTTAACTAGCCTATTCAGCTATGGAAGTGGAGGAGAAATTCTCAGATTCGATTCAGTTTGTTTTAGGTGAGTTGCCTTGGATTAATATTTAAACCGTAAGTGAATAGTCAATGGTTGTACCTATGCCTACTCAAGCATTTTGCTTCTTGCTCCGCCATTGGGTTGGGGTTGGCATTGTTTGTTTTTGGTTGGCCTAGGCCTAGCATATCCCTAGCCTATCTCTAGGCTAACATGTCATTGTGATGACATGTTTAAGCTCACATAAAAACAATTTATGTTTATATAGATTAATTGGTTTACGTGTTTTTTAATGTTGCAATGAATAAAAAGGTCTTGCATTTAGAATAAGTAAATTAACCCTGGAACTGCCAATTAAATTTCTTCAAATGCCAACACTTTTTTCAGCAATTAACATACATTTTTTTAAAAATTCGTAAAAAATATTATTTGTAGGCCTATGACTTAAGTAATGTAACATAATTTTATTCAGAAAATAACAAGGAATACAATGGTAAAATTTATTTTGTAAAATAACAAAAAAAATTTTACACACCATATTTTTTTATACACAAATTTTATAAAAAAATCATTTCCGCATTTTATGTCTCATGTCCAATACACATCAGAAATGCCACAAGAATTTCAAAATATACATTTTGTTGCAAATTTTATCTAGTTTTTAGAAATAAATTTTGTTTACTGAAAAAGTAATATATTATTCATAAAATTTGAGATTTTTCACATGACGTGCTCGGTGAAAATTCTGTGGTGCGAACCAGACATAGCTTATGGGAAACATATGTGTCTAGAATTATTATAAGTCATGAAATACAGCACTAGTCAGTCCTAATGTGCTACTAAACAATGTAATTCAACAAAAATCTAAACTTAACATAATTTGAAAAGCATACCTGCTAATTTTTGGACTATGTATCCACGGTAACGATAAACTCCAAGAAGATAAATGTTCACAAACAGTCACATAACAATAATAAACCAAAATTATAATTCACTTTCTTATTTGAAATAGCCTACTCAGGCATAAACACAAAAGTAATAAAGTAAAACACTCAAGATTTGATTGTCAATAGCAATATTTTTACAAGGAACTGCAAAAATTTGGCCGAAGGCAACTTGGCCAGAAGAGGGCGATTGTTGTTCCTGACTTTAGTCAGAGTCACTTTCATTTTCTGTGGCTGGTCTCTTTTTTTTGACTTTAGTGGCCTGTAAAAGTGTTCCAACCTCCCAAAGCACTGTGGGTGAACACCAACATTACACCCAGGGCACCTCCAGCTGCTTTTTTTTCCGCAGACGGGACAGACTCTCCTTTGATTCGATGGAAACTGCACTAAGTTAGATTGTGTTCCAAGGGATTTACTTGAACAGGTTCTGCAGGTGGTGGTTGCCTGACAAGTGTTTCAACAATATCCACCATGAATCTTTTCCTTGAAAGAGGGTGATCTGTGTTCCTGGAGTATAAAATGTAGGCGTTTAGCATGGCCATGTCCATTAGGTTGAAGAATATCTTTCGCCAATACTTGCGAGTTGGCCTGGTACATGAGTGATGATATATGGATTTATCTTTTTGATCCACACCCCCCATGGATAGATTATACTTGTGAATAACTAGGGGTTTCACAGCTTGTAGCCCACTGCGACTAACTATATTTCTATCCTCCGCATGGCAAGCAGTTGTTATAAGATAAACGGGTTTCCTCTTCTTTTTTTGCTTATAGCCGACGAGCAACACCTTTCCTTTCCTGAAATAAACAGTTTGACCTACCTCATATTGTGTTTCTACCACTGCTCGGGATAAATCTTTAGACTTCTTGTTTAGGTACTGTACCAGTTAGATATGTGTCGTTGCGTAACAAAGCTTCGGCTAGGGGTAGCTTAGTGTAGAAGTTGTCTGTAAAGACATGATGATGTTTCCCCAACAATCGAGTCTGATTCATCATCTCAAATATAACTTTTTGAGTGAATGGATCATCTCCATCACTCAAAAAGTCTTTACCACTATAAAGGGCAGTATGGAGCAAATAACCGGTAGCACTGTCACATATTTCAAATTTTTTTATTCCAAAGCGCGCATGTCTTTTGTTAGGCATATATTGTATAAATATTGTCCGATTCTTCATTTCTATCATACTTTCATCGATTGCTAGGTTCTGGGAAGGGACAAAATGTCTTTTGAAAGCATCATTCAAGTGATCTCCAGGAGTTTCCTTATTTTCTGCCAAGGATCATAACCCGGTTCTCCTTTAGCGATAAAAGGCTCTGAAGTGAGATGAAACATTGACGATATAGCCTGGAAACGGTTTCTTGACATAATTTCAGGGAAAAATGGAACTCTCTGGCTGAAAGATTGGTCCCCATAGTCAATAAGATTGTTTTTTCCAATTAGGCCCATATTTATAACCAGCGCTATATACTTCTTCATTTCACTGTATGTTACGTCAACCCAGTGTCGTAACCGTGACTGTCCCCTCAATTCCCCCGACAATCTCCTTCGAGTTACTTCTCTCGATGCATATGTATTGGTTTCAGTTGTGAATAATATCCAGATTGCGTAGGGGAAAAACAAATTGAAGTAAGCAATTGGCTTGCTGTTGCAGGGTGGACAGTCTCTAATCCCAGTATTTCTCACAGTAAACTTAGTTTCTATATCCTCCCCTTCAGGTTCTGGGGGGTAGACCCTTGTCCAAATAGGCCTAGTAATATTTGGAATTGGGGGTATTCCTAGCCTAGCTGCTGCATCCCCTCCAGGACCAGGAGGTGGAGCAGGTGGAACCAAAACCTACGGTTGGTACATCTAGGCCTACGTCTAAATCTGTTACTTCTCTTTGACTGGTTCTCTAATTCACTGCTATGTGGGACATAGTCATCTTCTGATCCAGAGGAGAAGTCTGTAACACTATGTTCAGGTGTCAAACCATAAATGTCTACATCAAGATCTGATTCATCACCTGTCTCATCACAAGGCTGACTTACTGATGGGCTTGCCCCTAGGCCTACCGCATGGTGGAAGTAAATAAGGTGTGCTACTCAGCCGGACGAGTTTGAGACCGTTCTGCGCATCGCGATGTGACGTCACCTTGGGGGCAAACCGCTTCGCGCGCGTATATAGCTCAGCGTGACACTGCTCTATTAACATCAACATTTTAAACTGTTAGAATTGAGGAAAAATTATGAAACTTGACATGGACATCAATTATAAGTGGACGATGCATGTTGTGAAAAAATAGTTTGTAATTGTTAAAAACTTAAGCGTGAAATCACTCTTTATACTTGGCCTTTGTTAAAACTAAACATGTAAAAGTTAGTCGGCTACCAAATCACGTACTATTTGGTTAGAAGCATTTGACCAGCGGGAAAGTTTTAGATAAAGATCCAAATTTAACTTTCCTTCAAACTATATACCGTTAGAGGCGTTATTTCCTGAGATATGCTAAGTTATATGAGCGCGTGATCGGAGCGCGTGCTGCGAGTCGAGTCAGTTGCCAAGTACTGCATTAATCACACATTGCCATCCAACAAATAATGTAGTTTCATGAATAGTATCAGTGATATTTTTATTCCTGTATTTATATTTTTATGTGAAAAATTGTTCTTCTGTTGACTTCAGTGTGTTTTTCCCCGTTTGAATATGGGTTATTTCGTAACAGTTCACAGAGAATATATAATATTGTCTCCCCTGTGAATAGGGTTAACGTTGCCAAATTGCATTTAAAGTATTGCAAATCGTTGTTGATTAGTTAAAACCAAAGTTTGCAAATAGTGGTTTAAATAATAAATGATCTTTAACGCAAAGGAATGTATTTAACGTAGTATATAAAATAAAATGTAATCTGTTAAAAATTAAGTTGGTGATTAAACATTGTATTTATAATCAGGTTAAAGTATAAAATTGTTTCACTCTTGCAATACCATGATAATAAAATGTGATATTCCAGTTTAATTTGACAGCTAGGATCGTATTTCCATGGGGTTGTTATCTATGTCGCAACTTTGGCTCGGATGCGGGGGTGTGTGCGGGGGATGATCACGTGTTGTTTGTTTTGTTTTCGTTTCTGTGTTCACCGCGAGTTGCAGTAGATGTCAGTTTTCCATAGGGCACACATCTTTCTACAAAAATGCCCCATTATGCAGTGCACAGTTGCTGTAATAGTTTTTGCTAGTGGCGAAAAAAGAAAATTTTTAAAGAAACTTAAAAAAGTTTAGAAAAATCCAGAGGTGATGAAATGTTTAATTTTTTAGATGTTTACTTTCAGGTCGTAAATATTTTTATAAAATTGCAAAATGTAATAAACTATGTTTTTGGTTAAGGAAATGTTATTCATTTCCGATCCTACAAATTTTATGGCAACTGTTATCAAAGAGAGTTGATTTGTATAAAAACGAAGATGTTGCAACGCATTATAATGTAAAACTTGTTATATCTGTCACTTGTTAATATTACATATTTCATTTAAAATGTAGAATACAAAGTATAATATCCTTATAAAATGTAGCTCCAGTGTTTTGGATAATAAATGCGTGGCCTTATTATCCAATAAACGGTGGCATCGGCTGAGCGCGCCCTCCGTTGCCGCTTGATATAATTCTTCGTAGCTAAAAAAGTAATTCTTTTATCGAAATCCAACCGATACTACAGTTAAATTAGAACCTTTCCCTAAAACGTTCCCGCAGGTCTCATAAACCTGACCAAATAATACGTGATTTGGTAGCCGACTAACTTTTTTGTGTTAGTATGAAAAAGTTTGAAGTTTGATCGGTGGTTGAATGGTTTTTAATTCAAATAAATTAATAAAATTTAAATCATAAGCATCCTATGTTAATAGTTCAAGACTATGCAAAGTTTCAGGAATTTTTATCGGTTTTTACTATTAAAAATTACAATTTTATTAGAGCGGCGTCACTGCTCGATATGGTCGCGAGGCATGTTTGCCCCCAAGGTGACGTCACGATACCCCTCCCCCGCACCGCCTGCAGCCGGCTACGATGCGCAGTAGCACACCTTATTTACTTCCACCATGGGCCTGCCGGCACCACGACTGATTCCTCTGGCTCAACTTCGGAATCAATATTATCATTAGTTTCACTAAGATCGTTCATCAATAATTCACGTAAATCACTGGATCGTCCTGCATAATTTTCCATTGTAAAAATATCAAGTTTGTAATCCAACAAAACAAACTAACCCCCACACATAATGTCACTTCAAAGTCCACTTTGTTCGCTAAATATTCACAAATAACAATGGAAACTACTAAAACACTCTTTGAATATAACTAAACGAGTTTATCAATAAGTACAAACAACTTTTTGATCCGAAAAACACGCAAAAACAACGAAATAAATACGAGATAACCGACCGTGTTTACAGACGACATCACTACTGCATAGAAACAACAAACACTTTTATCAACATATGTTAGCAGGCCCGCCAATACAATAAAACGTAAAAACTGTCATATTAGCAGGCAGCCAACCTCTTTGGCTTTACATTGATGCATAAAATACTTCGTTCTGATGAGTAGAAGCTTATATATATGAAAAATACTGGATCGGTCATTTTGTGACCGATGGCACTACGGAACGGACCCTGTCGGTCATAAAATGACCGATCGGCAGTTCCAGGGTTAAATTGTCCTCTGAGCCTTCGGCAACAAGTTAAATGGCTAAAGCAGATGATGAGGGTTGGTGCAAGGCTTACTGCGTGTTTATTGGTCAAGTACCTTACCTATTGCTAACCATCCTTGTTAACAAATTAGGCCTGAATGGTAAAAAATCCTGTTGCACTTTAACTTGTAGTTTACGCCCCACATTTAACCTAAGTTAAGTTACTCGAACATGAGTTACAGCATGTTTGGTTAGGTTATTTTAGAACAGTTTCACATTATAATCAGCTGATAGGGATAGTTAATGTATAATGGTAAATGCTTGACGTAAACTAAAGTCTAAGTTACCCAAAAATCCTTCCTTTGTTGAATTAACTTTAACAGGTAAAAGGCCAGGTGTTTAACTTATCTTACCCTAGGCTATGATTAGGCCTAATTTAATTTAGTAACTGCTTGTTCAACATTGTACCCAACATTATAACATAGGCTACATATTATTAACTCTGCATCCGCAAACGACTAAGTTATTGACTAGCTAATTAAGTAAGTACTTGTGTGAACCTGGCAATAACTCAGCCATAAGTAGTGTGCACGCCTTAAAGAATCTATTGCTGGCCGTTTTGCGGAAAAATACGGCTGTGTAGCATATTACCGATAATTTCACCAGATAGAGGACACTTTAACTGACACCGACACCGCAGTATCAAATACTTAGGCTATCATGTAGATACCTGTGGAGCAAGTTAGTGAAGAAAAGGGGGGGGGGGGGTAAAGTCAGCAATAAGTAGTGCGCGCACCTTATAAAATCTATTGCTGGCCGTTTAGTGGAAAAATACGGCCATGTAGCATATTATTGATTAATGTCACCAGATAGAGGACTATCATCATTATTATGTAATAAACCAATTAAGATTAACAAAGAATGAGTAGGCTACTACATCAAAATATTACAGTAGTTGAAAATAATCAAAATCCTAAGAAACAATGGAACACAATCAAAACCCTTATTGGAGAAAATAAGAAAGATGCAGAACTTATTGTATTGAAAGGTGACGATAAAGAGTTAATTACAAGCCCTGAAGCAGTTGTAAATAAATTAAACAGATCCTTCTGTTCTATAGCAACGGAGTTGAGAGAAAGTATTATATTTAGAACAGTAACAGATAATTCCCCAACTAGTAAACGAATATGAACCCATGTTTCAGACAACTACATATGTAACAATTCAATATATTTCTATCCAACCTGCGAAAACAAGGTTATTGGCATAATCAAATCGCTTAAAAACAGGAAAGCACCAGGATATGATAATATTACTCCTTTGATTATTAAGAAAATTCCTAGGCCTACTTATATTGTTGAGGTTCTTGTTTTTTTAATACATTTTAGTTTATATTTAGGTGAATTTCCCAATGATTTAAAAACAGCTATTGTAAAGCCGTTATTCAAAAAGGGTGTTAAAACAGATCCAAGCAATTACAGACCAATTGCTCTTTTATCTATATACTCTAAAATGTTTGAGAAAATAGTTAAGACTAGACTAATAATTTTTTTAGAAAAGTACAAATATTTTAGTGATGGGCAGTTTGGGTTCAGGAAAAAACTAAGCACTAATTCGGCGTTATTACATTTTATGAGTCAGGTGTATAGAGGTTAAAATGAAGGTAAATATTGTGCTGGCATTTTTGTCGATGTCATGAAAGCTTTTGATACTGTGGATCATGGTATTTTGTTGGATAGACTTCATGAAGCTGGGATAAGAGGTGTGCTTCATAAATGGTTTGCTTCTTATCTCACTGGACGTACTCAACGTACACGGGTGAACGACGTGATTAGTGACCAAGGAACTGTATTACATGGCATTCCACCTAGGGATCTGTTCTATCTGGCCCTCTTTTTCTAATATACGTAAATAGCTTGTGTAACAGCCGTTTTAGAGGAAATTTAGTGGCTTTTGCGGATGACACTGCATTATTTTACAAATCAGATTCCATTGAAACTCTAAAATTAAACATTCAATACGATGTAAATGTTCTTCGATGGTGGTTTACCAACAACTTCATGGTAATGAGCGCAAAAACTAAATATGTAATTTTTAATCTATCAAGGAACATAAGTTTTATTACTCCGATAAAATACCCCCAAACAAACTGCCAATCTACAAATTGTGATTGTCCTGTTGTTGAGCAAGTAGAGGAAATTAAATATCTCGGATTGCACTTAGACTCAAAGATAAATTGGAAACGCCATATAGATTATGTTAAGAATGAATTAATACTTACGTCAGGATATGTGATATGTTAAAAAGTATGTGTAATCACCGCCTACTCAGAAATATTTATTATGCGATGATAAATTCTAAATTGGAGTATGGTTTAGCTATCGATGGAGGAGCTTACTTTTCGTCAATTAAACCATTAATTGTCTTGCAAAAAACTTTTCGAAGGATAATTAGTAACAAATGTAGAACAGAACATGCAGCACCACTATTTAAAAAGTTAGAAATTTTGCCTTTGAGAAATCTATATATGTAGGTATAAAGTTTTATGAATATTTTATAAAAGAAGTAATGATGAGGTTGAAACTATGTCTGAAAGGAGAATAGCATTAAGAAAGGTATAACGCAATAGTTCCAAAACCAAATTTAACAGCTTTCAAGAAATTTTATTTATACCTTGCACCTAAAATGTTTAATGCTCTACCATTTAATCTCAAAACCATCTCAGAAGCAGATTTTTCTAGGCAGCTGTGGCCTTATTTATTAAGTTTAGAAAATGCTGAAATGTACTTTTATGGAATTTAGTATGTATACAGTAGTATAGAAGTGACTAATATAGATAATAAGCAATATAAATACTTACTCTGTTGTATCATTTTTGTTTGTAAGTGTATTGACTTTTACTCTGTGCTGAAGAAGATCACTGTGTAGAACTCACACTCACTGTATATATTATAACCAAGTGATATGATACCAAGTGATACCTGACAAAACCGCCTCTTCGATTTTTAGAACTTAAGAAATTGTTTGAATCCACCAACATAGGTTTTTCTTTTTTTCATGTGTAAATGTATTTTTGTGTTTGTTTGTTGTATGGAAAAAACAATAAAGATTTCATAAAAATATAAATAAATAAAAATGCCTTAGGCCTAGCATTCAGCCTATTTGTTGAGTTGTACTCTCATAAATAGTTTAAGTGAGAGTTTGATTCTTTTCTCCATTATATAAGCCTTTGGGCTAATAAATTGTTATTTTTCAGTGCCAAAAAGAGAACCTACTGATGAAGAATGTTTCAAAAACGCTAAAAACAGTTTGCTTCCACAGGAAGAACCCACCAACAATGAAGATCACAGGTAGGGCCTAATTTGATTTGGTAATTTTATTTTTTTACATCTTGAAAAGTGGTTGCAATCCATATATAAATCCAAAAGTACCCATGAACTTTTGTGAAAACTAAAAGTCACACCTAAACCAGCCTACTTTTTTTAGACAATAAGTCAATTAGCCTATGTAATCTTTATTTACACATTCATTATGAAATAGTAGTAGCGTTAACACGCTACACTTACATTTTTGTCATGACGAGAAACCTTTGCTCAAAACCATCCAGTATTTCATAAATTGCCCTTTAAGGTCAAATTCAAATCAAAAATCACTTTATTCAGCTGGAGAAATATACAGGGGTACATGATGATTGGTAGGAATAGTATTCCCCCAATTGTATACGATTGTATTTACTTTTGTTTCTTTTTAACACGTTCGCTGCTGAAAACCTTTAAACAGGCGCTCCCAATCTGCAGCGCGGTGACCAATCACAAAAGAGCAGTGGTGATGGTTCTATGTTACCCCTAAAGTGGACAAGCGGTAGTTCACTGAAACACCCAAAGGTAGCAGCAGTGCCTGGATCAACAACTAGGAAAACTAGAGAATATAGAAAATCCCCGAAACCGGGACAAAAGCATTCCTAGACGTAGTGATGTAAAATACCCGGGTATTTAAAACTCAGGGTAAATACCCTGGGTATTTACCCGGGTAAATACCCAAAATCCATAAATACCCGGGTATTTTGGGTATTTATGAAATTGATTAAAATTCATTTATATTCACCCCTAAATATGTTATTGTTATCATTACATGAAAAATTAGGATAGTCACCTTAACACCTACACCTAGTACACCTATCTTAACACATATCTATAGTACACCTTTTACAGTAACTTGAAGCTTTGCTAGTACTGTACCTTTTATTTAATGATTTAGCACTTTTTTTAAAATAAAACATAAAGTTTTTAAATAAGAATGGGGTTTAGTTTTTTATTAAGACAACACCTCATCAGAGAAATAGTGAACCTTAACCTACTTCTACTGTTATTAAATTATGATAGTTAAAAACATTTTTATCGTATAAATGGCTTGGAAGGCTAGACAGACCTAAGGCAGAATGGCAGAATACTAAAAGTAATTATTAAACTTTTCTGTGTTACCGTTTAGTTGGAAACAATAATATATTTAGATAAACCTACTAAAAAAATTAATCTCCTGTTTTTTGGTCTAACTTAATATAATTTTGAAAGATTTATATTGCTGTAGATTTAAATGTTTTGTATCACAAGTTTATGAAATTAGTTTTTTTTATTTTTATACCATTGATACCAACAAAAGATCTAGAACAAAAATATTATTTAATCCTGCCATCCTACAGATTGAATTTTAATTATTTTCTTAAGTTGTTTACACGCCTAGGCCACTACTAGGTTAAATTTTCATGTATTTATAAATAATAATTATTACTTTGCAAATTATTTTTCTTCACTTTCAATAAAATAAATTCATCTATCTATCATAGAAATAAAAAAATCATAAGTAGGCAGGACCTGTGCAACCATGCGACCAGGCTATTTATGCCGATTATGCTTTATGCTCAGACCTGGGTATTTATGGCGATTGTACCCAGAAGTAAAATGATAGTAGGGACCATATGAAATTTTGTTTAACACATTTTATCATCATTTTACTATCCTTACAGGGTGATAATTGCAAAAAAACATCTCAATCTTCTCTAACTTTAATAAAAATTATAAATACCCAGTTTTTCGGTATTTACCCAGGCCTGGGGTAAATTCCCGGGTAAATACCCAATTTATATTTACCTACCCACTGGGTATTTACCCGGCCCACATCACTACTAGACGAGATTTCACGGGAATGTTTGGTACCAATCTACACCAAAATAAAAATTGTATTCTAAGCTACAGCCTGGCAACAATAACCAGTGTCCCCGGCCGAGTGCTGGGCTCAGACAGACACAATATTTGGTAGGGGAGCACACTACTGCTATAGCAGTAGGCCGCATGCAGTGCCAGTGCCGCGCTACTGCTATAGCAGTAGGCCTCAGTGAACGTGTTAAATTAAACTAGTAGTCTTTATTGATTATTACTATCATGGAGTACACCTAAAAATTCAGAGAGTGCTGTGATTCAGATATATCATAATCATTTACAATATCATATAGGCCTACTCCTATCCCTAATAACATATAAATCAAGCCTAATACTTTGGAAATTGTGTAACAAAGGGAAACACCTAACAAATACTTATATTTTTCAAGGATCTATTTGTAGAATCTATAAGCACTATAGAAAGACTATTTGAGAATTTATTTAACACTATAGAAAGAAGATTTGAAAATCGATTAAAAAATGTGTCTTGTAAAATAAATTAAAAAAATAAGCCAAGCCTATTAAAAAAACCAAGAAAATATTTTTATTTTACCTCTACCTATAATGAACAGATTTTTAGAAATAAATATGCTTGCAAACCGAGACCTCTCTTGTCTTTCCAACCTGCTTCTGACAGGTGCTGGATCAGTTTGCAAATTCACAAACGGGACAAAATTGACAGGCTTTTTATAGGTTTATTGAAGGACACTATTTTATCTACAGTTACAAGGAGACTGTGTTTCAGAATTTCTCTTGATTGTAACGGCTGCCTTCAAATCGAGCAACAGGTTCCTTCGCTGACGGGTTCAGAGGGGGGGTGGGGGCGAAAATCAATAACTAGGAACAAGGGACATCACGCCATCGTTGTCCACGTGCACTCAGTGTCAGCACATTAGCACATTCCATGATATATCAGGCCAAGCCACGACATTTGTAGAGCTATGAAATAATACAATAGACTAGGGTATGGGTTTTAAGGTTCACTTGTAGACTTGAATGAAATTATTTTACGCATAAATTTTACTGACTTACGTTTCTGGCCACTTTTAAACTTCCTATTACATAAAATAACATAAAATTGGCTAGTAGGCTATGTCGATAAAACCATAACAAACTAAAAAGTATATAAATAGAACGTAGTGGACTTTGAAGTACCGACGCTCATACGGTCTCCATGTTTTGTGGAGTAACTACTGTCCAGTAGATTTACCACGACGGACCCTGTTGTCCGAGATGCAGTCACCCAACGTGATATGATCTGTGAACAGAAACCAGTCCCACACGGGCTACGCCAAAATGTTGTCGAAACAGCCGTTACAAAGAAATAAAAGATTCACTGTTTCTGAAAAATAAAATAAAAAAAGGTTCCACACTAAAATGCAGTGTTCGACCGTCCACTGCACCATATTGCTGCAAATTGGGTACCATGGTCGACTTACAGACGGCCGGTAGTGGACCCGAACCTCCCCCAACTACTTATACTACGCAGTTCGAATCCGACCATCCTTTTTGCGCCACCCTGTCCAATACTGCTAGACATGATTGGTACACCAACCTAGTTAATATCTGGCGTCAACCAAAAGGCCAGGTTTAGAGAGTATGGCCAGTCAACTAAGGCTCAAGGTTAAGAATCAATAAAAGAATATTCTAGGCGGTCACATTATAGATGTATTATTTTTTATTTGTTGTCAAATGTTTAGTATGTCTTTTCACTTTGATGTTTAACAGCAAAATTATGATCCTGGTATAATTATTATTTTGTCACACAGGGAACCTACTACAGAGAAAGTCAAGGAAGAAAATCAACATAAATCTCAAGTAAGTAATTTGCTTGTGTTCTAGACCAGAGTGTTTTCACAAAAAACAAAAATAAGTAGAATACCAAGAAAATAAGTTTGTGTGCTGTGAGAAGAGACCACCATCAGCCACCTTAATCTTGTAGATAGTTTTTATATTGTAGCATGAACCTAACCTGTATAAATTACTATAGATGAATTTTAGTTCCAAACATTCTCTTTACCCCTTTAATGTCACTTCCAATATTTACTTAAATTTGTTATTTATAAGTATAGAGGATTTCCTACAAAGAGGTTGAGACGTTTCATTCGCCTTAAACAGTAGTCATATGCATCAAAAACTTCAAGACTTTACACAATTTATAATCTAAGTTTTGAAAACATTTTATGTGAAAATGTCAGCTTCCTCTGACATGTAGAAACAAAATGGTTGGCATATTGAACATTTTACTAATTTTCCTCCGATAACAATTTCCTCAATTTGTTAACTGTGTTGTGTTGCAGTTTTTACCTTAATCATTAAAGAGCAGTTTGATTGAAGAATATTACTTTGAGCCATAATGTTATAGCACTTGAAATACGGTACGTCGGTACTTGGTTATAAAAGTCTACTCAAAAGCCTTTGAACAATTTAAAAGAAATTATTCATACTATTAAAATATTGTATTGGTGTGCAAGGGTGTGCAAGTATCTACAAAGTTCATTATGTACTCATCTATAGGCCTATAATAAATTCAAACTATTTAATATCTTATAATAAATTCAAACTATTTCATATCATGAAAATACAAAAATCTAATGATTTTCAGGATTTTAACGTCTTGGTGGATGGTCTTCTGAAAGACAGTGCAAAGCCTAACGGTGATGTGAAAGTCAAATCTGAGCAGGACACAGAGGAACCTGGAGAAAATAATCAAAACTCAGTAGAACCTCGGGATGCTGAGCCCAATACATCCGACACTGAGCGTAATCCATCCGATGCTGAGCCTAATCCATCTGATGCTGAGCCTAATCCATCTGACGCTGAGGCTCCATCCGACAATGAGATTTCTACTCAAGTTAGTTTAAAATTTATCGCTTTTTATTTTTATAACATATTCAAGTATTTTGAAAATAATCACTCGCAAAATTGGAGATTTATTGGCAACTAACTTAGTGATGTTAAATCTAAAAAAATTAAATTGTAAACATCCAAATTTTGCAAATCCATGATCAGATTTAAAAAATTATATGGAGTCCAGGTGGTAATGTATTTTCACTTTAATTTATTTGATTTGTAATCAATTAGAAATCTTTTTAATGGGATTAAGATTATGATTTGATATTCCTATAATCGTATCGTAATGTGATGCAGCCTCATAGCTTTTTTGCCAGATAATTAACAGGTTGCCCTTGTATGCACTGCAATATTTTGACACTGGTTCTCTGTGCCCGGATAAACCAATCTTACTTTAGATGTTTATCATAGTTGTCATCCTACTTAGTCAGACTTAACCATGTTGAAGCATGACCAAAAATAATTGAATATAGACCATCAGCCGCACTGCGGTTACCATAGGTTCTGGCGCACACCGCAGGTAACGCCATGTAGTTACGGTGTACACGCTACATAACTACACGGTGCTCCCATGGATGTGCGCCAGAACCTATGGTAACAGCAGTGCGGCTGATGGTCTATGTTTAATTATTTTTATCTATGGTTGAAGCTTGTGTTTGTTCCAATTTTCTATTATTGTATTTACTTCCTTTATCATATTATGGCTGTATAAATAAATATATATATATAAAGTAATAAATAAATTATGCTTTTACTGCAATATCATTGCCATTTGCAAATCTCTAATTTACAAAACAATAGGCATGATTTAAATTCGAGATTTTTGCTGTGGCAAGTCAATTTAGTTACAGGCATGCCCCATTAGGTGATTAACTGTTGAGAACTAATAACAAATTTCTTACAGTTGTTATCAAAGAGAGTAAGGGTTATGATAAGATAATATAAATCACCAACGATGCTGTAAATACATACATATTTGAAATGTAAACATATTGTAAACAATGGGCTGCTGTCTGTTATATCTCTGTCTCAATTGTCTTGATCTCTGGCGTCATAGAAAAAAAATTGAAACGCCTTTATGACCGTGGGTGTTGTAACCTTATTGAAAGTATTGTTCTGTATGGCCAGTTTTATTTTTACTTTTTCTCTCTCTGGCCAGTCTACCAAAAATGTTTTTGTTTTATTGTACTCTATTTGAATGGGTAGTTAGTTACAGGGTTGGAAAAAGTCGTGAGACAGCTAATTTTTAACAGAAATAAAGAGCTAGAACTTGGTACAAAGCTTCCAGACATAAAAGTCATTTTAACACATTATTCAGTGATACTCCACGTCTTCCCAGGTGGGTTATATTATAACCCCCCTCCCCCCCCCTCTCTAAGAGTCAGAAACCCAACCAAATGGACAACTGAGTCAAAAGGGGGATCTGTTAAGATATTAAAACTTACAAATCCAAGATATCTTTCAACTTAAAAAAAAGTTATAGATATATATAATTTACCTTTACTAAGATTTTTCGCCACTTTTTATATGTGACAGCTGAGTAATCCTCGGTAGAACCTCGATTATCCGCTGCGATAGGAGATACAGACACCTCAGTGAATAGTATAAAATATATATGCCTATATATAGCCCATTGCATAGTAATTAATATTGTGCAATCATTATATTTATTTACCTCAGGTCAATTATTTAAACTGTAACATTTAAAATGATCAAGCCTGTGCTCGGCCGATTGGTAACCGTAAAATAAAATTAAATGAAATTCTACTTTATTGGCAAAAATTTTTGAAACAAGTGGAGCTCACTTTACGCATTTCACCTGTTATTTAAACTCAAAAATATAATTTTTCCAGGAGACTGTTGAATCTGAAAGTGACAGTAGCGAGAGTCATTCTCCAAAGAGAAAAAGAAGAAATACCTCAAGTAAGACCTCGACAGTAGTAGCAGCCACATCAAATGAGATCCAAACACTATCTTCAGATTCAGACTCAGAAGAGGTAAGATTATGTTAAGTTTGTTAAGTTGTCATTATCTCCTAAACTGTTTGCAATTTATTCTTAGAGTCTTTATTGAAAAAAAAGTTTCAGGGTTTGAAAATGGAATATTTCTGATTGTTGAAAACTTGTTGGGGTTGGGAATCAACATTTGTGGCCTGGAAAATAATTTAAAAATTTTTCAGAAATATTTTACAACTTAAGATATTAATTAAGTTAAAAAAAGTTAGTTGGTCATAGGTTGTTTAAAACCGTTTATATACCTAGTACATTTCAATTACGGTAGTTTGTAATTATTTCTGGACTCAACCCTTTTCAGATTATTTTTTTTAGATCAGCTGAAAAATTTAAATTAAAAATAAAGTTGTAATTCGTGGCAGGAAAACTGGTCTGGTTTTGAATAAATTTCACATTTCATCAGAACTCATTTCATTTTACATTGTAGAGGGGGTCAAACTACAATATGTGGTACGTAGCGAATACAGTTAGTACCACAACTAACTGTATTCTCCACAGGCCTGCATGCAAATTTTTTTGTACGTATTTTAATTTTCTAGCCCCATTTATGTAATTATGTAATCTTTGTGGGTTCATAAATGTCAACGTCAGCATAACAGGGACCCAAAATGCAAGCAATCCTTACAGATATTAGTATTGTGTTATTATTGTGGGTATAAGTAGCGAGGGATACCAACTAATTCCGCTTTTGGCAAATATATTTTCTTTCTTTTTTCATCTTTTGTTGTATCTTGGTGTTACCCATTGACCGTGCCTGACTTGTGTATGTGTTGTGAATTCAAACTAATGCAGTTTTTTAAACCAATTCATCATAGATATTATTCTTAAGTAGATTAACTATTTATTATTAACCCATTGGCATGCCAAAATTGCACTACTTGATTAAAGAAATTTCTGTTTTGTTGCACTTTTATTGACTTACAACAACAACTAATATAACTTCTGGGCAGCGGATGTACAACTAGACACGAGTTGTAAGGTAGTGAAGTATAGGAAGTAAAGGAAGTATAGGAATATTAGTAAAATTTATGAGGGCCAGATCCAGTGAGACCATTGTGGGGGGGGGGGATGCTGAGGAGGCTCTTCCAGAAAATGTTGTAAGTTCTAGTTCAAAAAGGTAGTTTTCTAGCATTGTAATGTACATTTTGGAAGTAAAAAACTCTTAATTATTTGAGTTTCTATATGGCTGATCGCAAAATAGGGCCACCAAAACTAATATGCCAATAAGATACAATATTAGTTTATTAAATACTTAAGGTAATGACCAGATCATTGTGGTGATAGAAACAAAGGTTACAGGTTGTATACTGTACTATTTTTGAAAAGTATAATGCCAAGGTTTTTCCTGGATTTTAAAGGGTTTTTATGGCACCGGCGTGAATTTTAAGCTGTAAACTATAACCAATTCAAGGCCTACAGCTTAAGTTTGCAAAAATAATAATCCTTGATAATGTGGTAATTTTCATTATCATCAATCAATCAATCAATTATTTAAGTTGGGGACGCCACTATAGCCGTATTTAAACCCAAATATGAGTGAATCATCCTCACCTAATGCCACAAAAAGTCTCCCACGATAGGGGCTAAATCCTGAGTATCTCCATCGTTCACAGAAACATTATTACGGGGAGCATAATCCTAAAATCTTACATAAAGTTATCATTGTCATCCGCGGTCGCGTCAGAATCCTGAAAATCCCCCGCGGTCATGTGGTCAGTGTGTTAATCTCCTGCAGTCACTGAAACAATATCATCGTCATCCTCCATCATGGCAAAATCCTTAATATCTCCTGCGATTTGTATAAATTAGCGTCGGCTCTCAAGGTCACGGAAACTTTATAATTGTCATCGGCGATTGTGGCAAAATCCTGAGCATCTCCCACGGTTTGTAGGCATTATCGTTGTCTCCCACTGTCACAGAAACATCATCATAGTCTTCCGCAAACCCGATTGCAGCAAATGCATGAATTTAAGGGCATGGCGCAAATTTCACAGACACGGTGTATGATTCTTATCTTAAAAGTTTGCCCCGAGCTTGATTTTGCACCGGTTCATATGCCTTTTGTAAAGGCATCCAATAACAGCTGAACATAACAAAGCCAAACTTACCATTTTTTTTTTTTTCACAAACAGTGAGAATGTTATTTTGAAACAAATCCTAATTTTAAAAATGCCTGTAGGCCTACAAACTAAAGCTAAATATAAAAATTTTAAATTTAATTAGGCTTATGGGTAGTAATGATGGGTACCAACTACTTATAACAACTTAACTGTAAACAAAAAATCATAGCACATGTTTTAGCCTATATACGACCTAAGTACAGTATAATTGAACAAATTTGGACGAAGACCAAAGAATACACAGAATGTATCAAAGTGCATTTGGAAACTACCAATGTTCAAATACAAACAACATTTTACCGATTTTCTTTATGTAATATAAATTAAAATCTAAAGAAAATAATTTTAATTAGTGGAAACTAGCAAAACTAGCAAAAATAAAATAGATATTTATTGAAATAGGCGGTTATAAAAGTGGAGATTTGTCATTGCCTTTAGTGCACGTAGATTTATCTTCTGTTTTTAAATTTGGAAGCCAGTTCTGATGCTTGATCATGCAAAAACGGTTGAGCGTGTCAATGTAAACTAAATTGACAAAATCTCTTTGTTAGTAACAAAATTGCTTTCATCCGGTATATATTGGAGTTGAAACGAACCATGTAAACCAGCTGTTTTAACTAATGAGTATATTATAAATAGCCTATGTTTGTCTAAATAGGCTATAAGAAACTTGTGGTTTTACCAATTAATTTTACTTGTACACATATGAAGGTGAATATTAAATGACAAATCAAAGAAGAATAAATAGGAGATTAAAAGAAGTGGTGGTGGGGATGAAAAATGGATTTTCGTTTGGTAGCCAAGTATGCACTTTAGATTGTGCTGTGGTTGACCTGGGAATTCAGATTTTTCTCTTGGCTTGACTTATTATGTAGCGTTACCGAGAGTAGGAAATATCAATTGCTTGCTGATTGCGACATTTTCAATAGGAATAGTTACAAGCATAGGCCTAATCAAGAAATTGTACGTAGACAATAAAGAAAATGAAAATGGAAAGAGGGCAGACGATTGCTTGTATTGTGAGGTTTGAAATAAATTAGATTCTCATATGATAAAGTATCGTATTTATCATTAAAAGTTCAATTAACTTGTTATGTCATAATCCATAATAGTTAAAAATATATATTTTGAAATACTGTAATATGATTTGTTTAAATCTTTGTTCGCTGCGCTTGATTGGCGGAGCTGAGTCCGCATACCTAGTTAACTAATATTTTCGTTTTCCACAAATCAGGTTAGGCAACTAAAGAAACTAAAATTACTTTCAAAAACTATTGCAGATTCACATAAAAAATTATTGACCTGACAAGTGCTGTGATCCCTCAGAATAATGTCGGACTATTGGCAATGTCCCTGTACGGAATAGTTCCGTCTAGGAATGCTAGAGCGCATTAGCGGTGGGACGAAAATGTTTGATCCAAGTATGCCAGTGGGTAAACAATTGTTAAGTTAGGCCTATGAATGCTTGCTTGGTTATGAAAAAGCCACCAGCTCTTGAGAGAAGTCTGCAGCTTTTTGATCGCTTGAAACTAAATCCAGCTGTCCTTGATCATTGTGCTTTTGTGATGTGTCTGTTGCAGTTTTTATCGGTTTGGTTTTTGTTTCATCAGTTGTCGGTCTTTTGTTTTTAAAAGATTTATTTTGTAAAATTACCATCCTCTAATACTAAATTTCACTAATAGTTTTCCTTGTAAAAAGAATTCTTGTTGGTGGTAGGTTTTTTGTTCTTATAGGGATTGTTGCAGGCAAACCTTTATATTCACTTGTAACTAATAGAAAATGTATTCACTAATCCTTCACTACACTGTAGAAATCAGTTTTTATTTATTCAAAACACTTACTATAACTGTGTAGTCGTAGAGTTTTTTACTTTTGTCTTGCATTGATAGTTTACAGTAGAAAAACAGTAGTAGCCTCAGTATAAATTTGGTGTAGTGTGCATTTATAATATTATTAGGACTTAAATTTGCGATCACGGCAATCGTCATTATTGTCTCCTGTGAGAATGGCAAGATCATTATACATCTCCTGCGATGGGGAAGACGTCATGATCATATCTCCTGATTGTGGCAAAATCATTAAGATCCACCCCGGTTGTGAAGACATCGTAATAACATCCCGCGATTGCAGCAACATTTTGAACCTCCTCTGTGATTACAGTGAAATTATTACATAGCAACTGATAAACCAAAACCTACATTGTCCATGAATTCTCGGTAAACTGACAACCAAATTTTTAAATAAAAATAAACATCCCTACTTTGGATAAATGTTCCTGTCGAAAGACCAGTTGGTCTTGGTCAGCAACAACGCAACACAATGCTTCTCACTCCATTCTAAACTCATCCTTTGTGTATAGTTGGGTTAAAGTACGCTCAGTTTGGTCCAAATATTAACTATCGGATATAGGTAATAACAGTATTATTTCTCTCGGCTAAATTATGCAAGACAAATAATGTACAGGGTTTGATTACAGTTGGTTTTGTGGGGTTAGGCTCGTGAGAGGAGATCCAGAGGCACTGAATCGCTCATATGCGTCCATGGTCACTCTACCTATATAGATTGGCCCGTAGTTTTAGTTTCCATGGTTAATCTGATTTTGCTCAATTGTGTTGTTTTTATGTCCTGTTTTTATCATAGTGTAGTTAAAACAGTTTATGCATCTACTTCAATCACTACTTCCATCAATTACTTTCATGTAAAAAAATAATCAAATTAACATATAATTTAAAAATTATTTCAAAGAAATAATGTTATTTTTTTAGAAACAGCTTTATCCTAAGAAGTGTGAGATAGCCTTTAGGTGACGTCAATCAAACTTGTTCATAGGAGGAAACACATAACCAGACCTTTAAACCTGTGAGG